TCATATACAAAGCTCTATCTCATGCTGGCCAATAAAAAATGTAAACTCGATCACAAATATGACATTTAAAATAGAACCTCGATCAAGTGTTACCTTAACTAATGAATAGATTATTGAATAAAATTTTCGATATCAGTATGCTTTGAAATACTCCCTCCCGTCCCTAAAAGAACTTCCAACTTCCCATTTTCGTCCGTCCAAAAAAGAATTTCACTTTCTCTTTTTGGCAAAGAATTTGTGGTTCACAACAATTCTCTCTCCTCTGCACAACTCTCCACCACACAATTCTTACTTTCTTAATCAGTGTGTCACTTTATTTTGGAAGAACATTTAGGGACGGAGGTAGTACATTTTATTTTGTAGAGAGTGATAATATTGGTAGAGTCTCATAATGAGCTTATTAATAATCAAAATATGTTGTGAATGTTGTTTATCTCATCTTATAGAGTCTAGAGCAATCACTCAATATATTGCACACACATATGTTGACCGTGGAAGCCAGTTGGTCCCGAGAGACCATAAAGAAATGGCAATCATGTCGGTGTGGATGGAGGTTGAGGCTCACGAATTTGATGCGGCAGCGAACAAGCTCAATTACGAGGTCAACGTAAAGCCCCTGTTTGGCATGGTGGCCGATGATGCAGCGGCCGCAAAACACGAGGAGGCGCTTGCCAAGGTTCTTGACGTGTACGAGAAACGACTTCAGGTGTCAAAATGCCTGGCCGGGGACTGCTTCACATTGGTTGATCTTCACCATACACCGCTCATACACTACCTCATGGCTTCTAAATTCAAAGCTCTTTTCGAAGCGCGTCCGCACGTTGATGCGTGGGTTCGTTATATCCTGACAAGGCCTGCTTGGTTAAAGGTTCAAGAGCTGATGAAGCAGAACTCTATCCCCGCTTCTTAATTCAATCATGTATGTGTATGAGTTACGTCTGAGAACTTCATTGTTTGTCTTGAGTTTTGGATGCTTCATCTTTTTCATTTTTATTTATGTTGTGTTGTACTTTTGAGGTTTCTCTTATCTGGGAGTTACGGTTGCATTTTACTACATGCAGTAATAATGTTGCGGAAATTTTATTTATAAAATTGTCCAATGCCATGTACTTTGATCATATTAATTTATGAGTTACTTGCTCTACGTACTCTTGATTGGTTTCACAATTCACATGTTAACAAGATTCTTGTTCCAAATTTAGTTTTTCTATTTTTCATTTTTTGGGGAAAATGAATTTTTTGTAGGATGGATGTGTTGGAAAAATGTGTGAAAAATTGCATTAAATGGCTATTTTGGGGCAATTTTTTGAGTGGGGTCCACTTCCGATTTGGGTCGGGTCAAAGTGGTTTCGGATTGTCCTTGTTAAGGGCTACAATTCGATATATGGTACGCTCAAAACGGATAACGGGTGAATGAGAAATCGCTTTTCGAAGTTTATCCGTTAGAATGGAAAAACTGGGAAAAAGGATGAGTTTCTAGTGTGTTAATTTCCCACACCGGAAAACCCAAGGGATTTGCAACCCTTTATAAAGGGACTCTCCCCTTAAGGAGTTAAGATTCCTAAGGGTAAGGGGGGGGGTGCAAATCAAATCCCGAATTCGGAGAAGAAAAACCGCGACTTGCGTGCGCGGGCGACCTGCGGACACGAATGTCGTCCAAAAATCTATCTCTCAAGAGATACGGATAATTTTTGTTTTCTCCCCGAAACGTTTATTTTTTCCCGGTTGACAGAAGTGCCTAGCAGAAGACCTCGGCCTCTGGTGGCATCAGAACACGTCGGTCTCTGGTAGCAATAAATGTCCAACGTTTATATCCTTTAATGCATCGTTAAATGGACAGTTCATGGACGATTCAATGCCCAACGGACTGGTCATTGATGTCCAACGTTCAGGTCCATTAATTCACCATTTACACACAACAAATCCTCCTATATAATGGCTGGCAGGTGGTTTGCAACAACACACGTTCTTACACGAATCCATACACGTTTTAGCTCTAAAAACACACTGCTAGCATTCTGAAAAATTCCTGAGTGTTCAGACTTGTTCTCGTTCGCTGGAACTTTTGTTTGTGTGCTCAAACATTAGTTCGTAGTCATCGTATCCTGGGAAACGATTGTTGCAACGCTCCTAGCACCGTGGGAGGCAACAAATACGTTTTAAGGACATCGTGCGTAGCACGAGCTTTGACTAATTCTGCTTCATCTCCTTTCTTGTTTTTCGCTAGTCATTTTATTTAATTAATTTATTTTAATTAATTTTCTTTATTTTCCGAAACACACCCAACAGGATGCACCCCTTTTCTCAAGCTTTTCGGTGTCTACCAATTCTTAGGTTTTCTTTGCATTGGGCTCGCTTAACTATAGTGTCCTATGATTAAATAGCAGCCATATATTATCTTAAAACCAATTGGCGATAAGAAAGTTGACACACTCTATTTAACACATAAATCTGTAGTAATTAACTTAGTAAATGTAAATTCTTGTGAGGCACCCCCACAATTCATTGGGGCACGTACAACATAGACTCACTACTGAGCGGTTGATAGACATGAGAAACAACATCACATCGTGGTGTCAACAAATCAGTCCTAATCAAAGGATGAAACCTTAAATCAAAGGATGTTATTGATCCCCATAAGATTAACAATTTTATTAACAAAAAAGGGATGTATAAGTAAGAAGTTAATATTAATCAAAAAACATAAAGAAAAGTCGTAAACAAGAAATACAAGAAATTTAAATAAAGCCAATCCTAAGTGCATCCAAGTGACCATTCTTAGAATCTCAATCATCTCATTCAAGATGAGATATTTAAATATATATGAGTATTGAACTACTCATATATATGTGGTACTACAATATTTAACTATACATAATAATATTTAAATGGTGTAAGTAGTTTTTTGTAGTTTTTTGGCTGAACAACGTATTTGTTAATGTTAAATGTCAGCATCTTTGATTGGGATGAGTTTTGAATTTATCACATTCTTCTTGAATTGGGAGTATCGCAATGATTCCATCGAATCACAATATGCTTGGCAAATGATGCAAATAGTTAAAGTTTACATATTTAACACATTCACTTAAAATATAAATTTAACCACATCCAATAAATTCATACTATCGTATATTATAAAATATCATAAAATGTATGATTATAAATAATGGGCCATGTAATCTTTATTGTCTTAGCTTCCCTCACTTGCTTTACAGATTTATCCATTTTATTCTTTCATGATTATGTGACATTAAATTTTCATTATCACTGTAATGTTTTCATCTCACTATTGAATTAAATCGGTACTATGTTTTGTTTCTTTTTCATTAATACAAAAAATTAAATTATTTAGAATATATTCCTCATGTACACGGTATGAGTAGATTACTATGACATACATAGTATTACTTTTTACGATGATATCGTGTACTCCCTCTATTTCAAAATAAACTTAAAAGATTTTTTGCCTGTCCCAATACATATTTGTTCGTTCTTTTATAGCAAAAGAATTTGTGATTCATACCTTTTTTGTTTCATCTACACAATTTTTAACAACACAATTTATACCTTTTAATCATCTTGCCATATCAAAATAAGAATTAACTATGAGACGAAGAGAATAACAATTTCACGTTTTCATCTTATAGAAACTATCACTCCGTGCACCGTATCGTGCATCACACAGGTGAAAAACTCGTGTATTGTAAAGAAAAAAAGTAACATAGAATATCAGGTCGTCAATCGGTCAGAGACCATCGAATGAAAATGATGTGTAAAGAATAAAGATTGAACTATTTCATAATTAAGATTAGATTGGATTGTTTTAAAAAGAACGCTAAAATATTGAATTATTAGTCACCATTTTTTCTGTATGGAATGGTTTTATCCGGCCCAACAGCTCGAAGTGCCCAAATTTAACCCAATGGAATGGTTTTATCCGGCCCCAAGAGCTCAAAGTGCCTAAATTTAACCCAAGGTGAAAGAACAGTAAACTCACATGTAGGGCTGGGAAAAAACTCCCGACTCCCGATCCCGATCCCGATCCCGATCCCGATCCCGATCCCGATCCCGACTAGTCGGAATTCTTCCCGATCCCGACTAAGTCGGGACGTGATCGGGATTTTTTTTTAAAAAGTCGGGATCGGGAAAATCCCGACATCCCGACATTATATATATATAATACACACATGTATATAATTATATGTGAATATGTGAATATATAAAAAAAAATGAATATAAATTTATAAAAAATGAATATGTATCTAAATATTTGCATATCTTTTTTAATTACTTATTCCTTACATAGATTAATCTTTTACTACGAGTATTTTACAATATCAAACTTCTAAAACTATTCGGCATTTGTCCGAAAATGAATATTCGGGATCCTAACTAAATAGAGATTATTCTTGATCTCGACAATCTAAATCACAACAATATTACAAATTTTTGCGGTTCTGATAAACTCTTTAAAAAATCATGATCGAGACTAAGATTTCTTTCTTTAGTAAATAATCATAATATGTATTTATACATTATATTCATTGGTCACAAAGTTTCTCAATGAGTCTACTTTGTTTTGAATTTTAAATAATACGATAGTATACGTTACACATCCTTCTTTTAGTAATTTTTATAAAATGTTTGAAGTAAGTTTCACTAAGCCTTGATAGGTTATTCAAAAATTATATTATTAATTAATTGAAGTTACAAATAAAAATTATTCTAAAAGTATGTACTAGTGTGAATTTGAGACGATAATTATTACAATAAACTTTATAAGTAGATGATGATAAATATGGTATAACAATGAACAAAGAATAATTTTGAAACCCTAAATATCAAAGTTAGTGTTTAACTAAAAAAATTACTCTGTACATAATTTTATGTTTGATACTTCATTGTCGGGATTTAGCGGGATTAAGCGGGAATTCCGATCAGGATTCCGATTTAATCGGGATTTTAATGTCGGAATCCCGACTTAATCGGGACGGGATACAAGATCTTCTTATAGTTTGAATCAGTATCTGGACGGGATCATCCCGATCCCACCCTACTAGTCACACGGTCGTATAGCTAACAGCCAAACATATCGCTAGTTACAGAGAGAGGCTCATCGACTGATCGTCTGTGATCGACATTCTACATCCTCAGCCTCCGCCCTTCGCTTGGACTCCTGCCCCTTCTCTGACTTTTATCTTACGCCTTCGCCCTCCGCCTTTCCGGTACTCCTTATTTATCTCTTTTATGAATTAATTCTTAATTCATACCCGCAGTATAGTTGTTTATAAATGATAAGTGATTAGTTGATTACTTGATTTAATGATTTTGTGTGTGTTGATTACATATAATCTCTATCCTCCCACCAAATCTCACAATTTTTTGTTTACGGCATTTTGATTTCGATCTTCTGAATAATCACATTTTCACATTTTGTTTGATCTTCTGAATAATCACATTTTGTTTAATGGGTTTCTTGATGTATTTGTTATTTTTATTCTTATTTTAAGTCTGGTTTTCATTTTTCTGAAAATAATCACATATTCAGAGTAGTTTTAGCTACATAGAACTTCGATGTAGGATTTATGGAGATTTTAGTCAGGCATTCAGACATTCCCATGTGTTTCAAAGGGTGATTTTAGTGAATGTTAATCAAATGTAATAACTTATTTTGTATTGACTATTGAACATAAATCCTATCAAATGGCTTTCCGTTGTTCAATTCTAGGCCCATATTAAAATGAGTCCAGTACATATGAAGAACATCCCGTATTTAGCTTTATAGTATCTCAATCCAAAACACAGTATTAATGCTATCAATCACAGTTTTTTGAAATGATTTAGCCCTCTAAAATATTTGCTATGGAGTACTTTACCCATTATTCGTGAGAGCAGAATTTTTTCCTAACAATCAAATGGTGACAATGATGCCAAAATAAGGAGAAAAAATGCAAAAGAACTGATTGTTTAGTTAAACCGAATTTAGAATTGAATACACGAAAGAACTATTTTTGAAATTAATATTTATTCTATTTTAGAAAATTATGGAACAAAGGGAAATGGGAAGAACTGCTCTATATAATTTTTGAGTGCTTCTATATTGCAGCTTCTATCTGCTTTTGTGCAGCTTCTGTTTTGCACCTTCTATTTTACTGTAGTGTGTGAAGCTTAGTGTAGAAACTAATTTTTTTTAGTTTTGTTTGGTTGTTTACAGCTGAGATATATTGTTTGCAAATTGTGTGGTTTATTTGAGTGGTTATGGTTATGGTAGAATAGTAATATATCCATACTCTAAAGTCTAAACCCTTCTGCATATAGATATGGTGTAGATCAGATTTTTGCGGTATGGTGTGACATTAAACTATACTGTACTTGATTTGGGTATACCTTAAATTCGGTATGAAACGGTATAGTGTAGTGCCATACTGAAATTATGGTATACGGGACTTCAATATACGGTATTCGGCATGAGAAAAAAACCTGGTGTACCATACTGAACCACCCTTAGTTGTGCTTGTATTAATCGACCGTTTAAGAACTAGATTTTTTTTCCAATTATTGACTGTTCAAGTTGTGAGCATGTGAATTCATTCCAATCAAATCCATTTATACCTTCATAGATCATACTCAAACAACTGTAGCAGAATAACAGCTTCGATCAGAGGTTTCCATGGCTCCCATTGCTCCCAGATCTGGAGATGCCATTTTCGCCAATGTAGAACGAGTGGTATTGCAATTTAACATTTGGAAAAAGTATTACCCTTTCTTTTTTGTGATAAAAATGAACATAGTGACATATATTTGTTTGTTTCACATCTTCAATACGTGATCCAGAATGCAGAGCTCTTTACTCTAACGTACGGCGCGATTGTGCGCCAACTGATCATCGATCTGGAGGAGGTTGATGAAGTCAACAAGCAGCTTGATCAAATGTACCTTTCTTTAACTATTTGGTTATCCTCATTACTATTTTTGTTCTTTGGTGTTTAAATTTATTTGGTTCATTCCATACTACAGGGGGTACAACATTGGAGTTAGGCTTATTGATGAGTTTCTTGCAAAGTCCAACGTATCTAGATGTGTGGATTTCAAGGAAACTGCTGAAGTCATTGCGAAGGCATCTATGTTCTACCCCCTTTTGTTCCATTAACACATTATTGTTCATTGAATGGTTTGCGGATTTGTCTTTGTATTTCTTTTCTTTTTCTATGGAAAGCTAGGCTGTTTTCTGTAATGGTTTTTTTCATAGTAGATGTACTTATCCCCCCCCCATAAATTTATCCATCATTCACTGTGATATTTGTTTTAGTTGCTGATAGTATGTCCCTTTTTTCCCTGAACAGGTTGGTTTGAAAATGTTCTTAGGTATTACAGCGTCCGTGACCAATTGGGATGCCGAGGGAACAACATGCAGTCTTATTCTAGAGGACAACCCACTGGTGGACTTTGTTGAGCTTCCTGATACTTGTCAAGGTCTTTACTATTGCAATATCTTAAGTGGAGTTGTTAGAGGTGCACTTGAGATGGTGAGTTTTTTAGGTACCCACCTCACATCACATGCAATATAATTTAATGAGCATTTTAGACTCTTCTTTTGCTAGCTTTTATTTGGCCTATATCCTCCTTGCATTTGGTCTACTAGTAAAACTCCCATTGATTTTGTACCTGATAACCTGATACCTGAATTATAGGCTTCCAGTGTGGGAGTTGCAACTGATCCTTGCACTCAACTCCATCAAGACAGGAGCTAGAAACTATTAGATTGCCTATAGCAGAGGCCAGAGAGGCGGGCATTAGCGCCAGTAGAGTGTGCTATATTGGGAAGAATTTCTTCCGAAGAAATAGTCTCTGCAGCGGGAGCTATAGCACCACTATATTTTACAGGGCTTCTTCATTGCTAGTTTTGAAGGGATTTGGGGGTATTTTATGCATTTAGATGCTTTTAGAGTAAAAAATAACCTCACTACACTGTACAAAACACTCGGGGGGTGGGAGCTACTAAACTCTACTAAAGTAGCTCAAAATAGAAATCGAGATCAAACAAAGTACAAAACCTACACCGTACATCTCCTCGTTAGGGTAGTCCAAGGCATCCCAACAACCTTCATTTTCTTATAAGGAGATAACGATGACTGCTGATTTACCTAGAATTATCAGGAGCTGAAGTTTTAATTTTAAAGTTTACAGATAAGCTACTTAAATTATTCTTTTCTTCTGTATAAGATACTAGTGCCTTTTCTTGGTAATTCAGTAATTATAACGAGGTTTGAGATTTTGAGTAACACATTCATCATTTATTTGATTTGATATGTGTGTGGCGTGTAATTATATGCATACATATAATAAGTATTGTGCATATATATTGTCTGAATACTGAATAGCGGTGGTCGTCCTGTTATCTGCCATACCACTATAGTGTTTTTAGGGTTGGCCTCTATGCTCCGCTATCCGTTTTTTATAACACTATGATAACACACATCTTCCACATTTTCACCATTATTGATACCACATACTTCTTCACAAAACATCTTGTGCCCAAAGCTTTGTTGGAGGGCCCCTCAAGCTTCCACCACTTTATCCTTGGCTCCATTTGTTGTGTGGCCCGTCTTCAGTGCTCCTTACCTCATATATAAGATTATCTTTTGGTACTAGCGTTTGGTTTTAGACTGGCTATCTCAAGAGATATCCATACCGACTGGACTTGGAGTCATCCCAACTCCCAAGTGATATCCATATCTGCTTACAGAATCAAATCATCTGCCATCCGAATGGAGTATTGAATTTCAGATTGAGATTTGAGTTTTTCCAGATTGATTTGAATGATCCTGTGATTAAAAAGAAGTCTTCCTCTCACAAAAGTACACTACTTTGAAAAATAGGATAAATATGCAGCAATTGAGGACACCCTTTTGGCGTTTGTTTATTGTTTAGGGCTAAAGTGTTCAATTAGCCCCTTATATAGGTACATGAACTAACTTAAAGTGTTCAATTAGCCCCTTATATAGGAGGTTCTGCCCGGCCGTCGCCAATTGGGGCGGTTCCCGGTGGAATTTTTTGATGAAATTTTTTGAGCATTTTCATTAAGTCTAGTTTATCCATACCAAATTTCAGCTAAAAATTCAACCGGGAAGGAAGTCAAATGATTTCCTGAAATGTGTTGCGCTGCTTAACTGCGCAGTTATCTTCAAAAAATCATTTGACTGCCTTCCCGGTTGAAATTTTAGCTTCAATTTGGTATGAATAAACTAGACTTAATGAAGAAGATGCTCAAAAAAATTCATAAAAAAATTCCACCGGGAACCGCCTCAATTGGCGACGGCCGGGCAGAACCTCCTATATAAGGGGCTAATTGAACACTTTAAGTTAGTTCATGTACCTATTTGAACCTTTAGCCATTGTTTAGTGGTAGTAGCACTAACAGATACTGTTCATATTAGCAAAATTGTCAAGGGGAGATTTTATAGACCAGTGTGCTTGTGACATGTAAGACATTGAACCCCTTGGAAACAAAATTGAGGAAATTAGTTTATCAAACGAGCTTGGAGTAATTGAGAATTAGTGAATTCCAAGATTGAGTGGTGGATGTTCTAATAAACCGAACTTTTAATATTTTGATTGTTTCTTTGGCTTTCAGGTGTCAATGAAAACTGAGGTCACTTGGATCCGTGACATGCTTCGAGGGGATGATGTGTTCGAGTTACAGTTGAAGTTGATTAAGCAGGTTCCTGAGGAGTACCCTTATAAGGATGATGAGTAGCGTGCTTAATTTATGCTCAGTAATATGTGTATGCAACTTATCAAGTTCTGTGATTGTCCTCCAAGTAGTGCGGCATTGCACTTTACTTTTAACCCTAATCAGTGATCTTACCTGCCCGATCTTCTCAGTTTCTCAAATATCCGTGTATGTGGACTCACTGAGTCACTGTTGCACATTGTTACGAAGTTTGTATTCCATTAGATGTAAAAAGCGGGTGAGATTATTCGTTATGATTTACTCCGTATTATGCAGCAGACAACGTGAAAATCGGGACACTGCTGCAGACATTTATTAATGGAAACTAGGAATTCTACCATGCCTTGTGATGCCTTCCCGTTTTTTATTTGTTTAAGTTTAGTTATTGTGTCGACAAAGTCATCGATGATATTAAAAAGATGAGGTACACTTTTGGTGCCAACACGAGGACACAAAAAGTGGGTCTTAGCGTCTACTGTTGCCGACGCAAAAAATGTGGACGCAAAAAATGTGGACGCAAATGATGTCTTTTGTTGTAGTCCAACTGTGCAAGAGCTTGATAGTTTCTCATAAAATTAGGGGTGGGAAAAACCGAACCGAAACCCGGAAACCGACCCTGGACCGACTCGAATTATGATCCCGGTCCGGGTTTTTTCTTTTTAACCGGACCGAATTAAAAAAAAAAACTCGAACCGAACCCGAAATTCCGGGCTCATTAACGGGCCTTAAAATATATAACCCGGCTCGGACCAAAAAAAACCTGAAACAATTAGCTTTAATATAAAATTAATATAATATATGAATATAAATTTATAAATATTTCCTAATATACGATTATAATCACGGTGGATAAAAAGGTGATTTTGTAACTTTTAGTGACTACAAATTTGTTCAATTTTTTAGCATAATTACCATGAAAATGTATTTATAGCAACTCTAGTCACATTTTTATCTATAAATTTTATTTCGTAATTTTTTTAAGAAACCTATATTATTTATTTATATGCATCGTAAATAAAATATTAAGATAATTATCTTCTTTGGATTTGAATTGTTGGTGATTTTGGGGACTAATATTTGTGTTATTATTTGCGCTTTGTATTTTTGATTAATTTTATTTGAAAATAGGTGTTAAAATAAATATAAAAGAACAATGAGATATTTCACGTTCGGGCTTTAACCGACCCAACCTAAATCCGGACCGAAACCGGGCTACCAAAAACCCGACTTGGACCGAATATAATGGGCTTTGTTCCGGTCCCTAATTTTCATAACCCGAGACCTTCCGGGTAATTTCCGGGTTTAGCAAAAACCCGACCCAGACCGGACAGATCCCACCCCTACATAAAATAATTAAATTTCCCCAATGACACATGATGTTACAACCATAATGTGGATGGTCTGACTCGAGCCACAGGCTTTAATGTCCTCTGTTGATCTAAGTTACACAACTTACACGGGAGAATAAGAAATGGGGGTAAAATTTTGGGAGCCAGAGATGGACAGTAAGTTGGATGTGAATTGCTAACCTAGAAAAGTGAACCACTCAACATCTTCTATGAACAGCTCAGCACAAAAAAGTTGTGTATTTGTGTACATGCAATTTTTTAATTTGTTCTTTCAAAGCATTGATTAATTATATTCATTCGGTGGCTATAAATAAACCATAATCCTCAAATAGCTATTTTTTACTCTTTAATTACCGATTTCTCCAAAATGTAAACACTAGTCAAAGAAACATATGTATGAAAAATAAAATCTGAGAGATGATTCCAAGTCTGAATCAAGATGTCAAAGGAATATTGGTGCGATTGAAGTAATGAATTTTGAACAGCAATTAACCTTGAAATTAAAGGAGAAAGTATAAGCTAAGAAGGGAGGGATTTCAAAAGAAAGATGCTTGCCTTGTTGTAATAATGTAATGGGAAATGAAAGAGGTTAGGGTCAACAATAAGTTAAAGTCTATAAATAACGCACCGTTACCGATGCCAAACTTCATTCTAAGTACGCACTCTAAAATTCCATTTCCTTCCCAGCTTAATTAAACTTAAGAGTTTGTACCGGAAAAGATGGCACTTAAGGTCCACGGTAGTTTAGCCTCATCGGCGACGTTGAGAGTTATTGGTTGCCTCGAAGAGAAGGGGCTCAAATACGAATTTGTGCGGGTTAATTTGCAGGCCGGAGAGCACAAAAAAGAACCTTTCCTCCGACTGAATGTAAGTTCAACCAACTCTAGTAAAGAGTTTAATTAATTTCTCAATCTTTTATGAATTTTTATGAATTGGTAGTATGTGCTAATTCATGTGTCCCGTCTTCGGTTGATTATTGTGGCAGCCATTTGGTCAAGTTCCCGCCTTCGAGGATGGAGATTTGACGCTCTTTGGTAATGATGCACATTATATAACTACATTTTATAACAATTATTGTTGGTTTCTAAGTTATTATGAAGCACGAAAACTCTCGAAAAAAGTGTGTGTATTTATGAAAATCCTACGAAACTCTTTGGAAATTCTTTAAACAGTTTTTTATTATTAAAATGTGATGTTTTACGTTTCCGATTCCTTATGTTTCATGTGTTTCAGTGCAACACAGTTACATAGACAAGCAATATTGGTTTCTGCATAGGACCAATAGATTCTACAAATATAATAATTACAACTATTGTCTAAAGTTTGTCATCATTGATCAAGAAAAGTCAATATGACAAACTTTTTTTGGACGGATGTGGTATTTGAAGTAATTATTCCACCAAAAACTTATCATCATATTTACCTTAGCTTACACGCATACCACAAGAAGAAACGAATACAAACACAAAAACATAAAGTGGTCGTTCTAAAAACTAGAGAATAATCTGTTTTGAAAGTTTTGCTTTTTGTTAACACATTCTACACTCGCCAAATATAAAAACACACACTTGTGTAAGATTTTAGGCTACTCTTCTATGTTGTTTACCTTTTAATTATGGTGCATGTTAAACCGTCACACACTATATAAATATAAAAATACAAACTTGCACATTATAAAACATTGAATGATTGAATGGTATAAAATGCAGACTCCTTATATGAGTTTGACCAACCTTTTAAGGAGATGAAATTGCAATATACATTAACTAATGAATTGAATTAGATTTTCAAATCAATGCTTTAAATGCATTGTGCATAAAGTAATTGACGCTTATTATCATCTTATAATCGAAATATATATATGTTGTAAACATTGTGTGATCTTATAGAGTCAAGAGCAATCACCCAATACATTGCACACACATATGCCAATCGTGGGAGCCAGCTTATCCCCTCGGACAATAAAACAATGGACACAATGTCATTGTGGATGGAAATTGAGGCTAACCATTTTGATGAAGTGGGGTCTAAGCTGTACCATGAACTTACAATAAAGCCCATGCGTGGCATGGTGGCGGACAAGGCAGCGGTGGCACAACATGAGGAGGCGCTTGTCAAGATTCTTGACGTGTATGAGGAACGACTTAAGGTGTCAAAATTCTTAGCTGGGAATTGTTTCACATTGGTTGATCTTCACCACACACCTCTCATATATCACCTCATGCATACTAAAGTCAAAGTTCTTTTTGAAGCACGTTCAAATGTTGCTGCTTGGGTTGATTATCTCTTCACTAGGCCTGCTTGGTTAAAGGTTCTGCAATTGATTATCAAGCATAACAACGCCGCTTTCGCTTCTTAATAATTGATATAATAATAGCTCCACTTATAATTATTATATTTCGAGTTTGATATCTTCATCGTTTGTCTTGTGCTTTGATTGTTCCATCTTTACCATAATTATATGCGTGCTATGTTATACTCTTGAGGGCGTGTAACTCTCTTATGTGAGTGCTTGTACCGTGACATTTTACTATATGCAATAATGTTGGGATCCTTTCATAGTTTCATGAAATTACAGTACTTTGATCTCTGAATTACTTGACTCTATTATCGGTTTCTAACATTATATATCAATAAGATTCCTGTTCAGAGTGTAGATAATTGATTAATAATATATATATATATATATATATGTATATATATATATATACATACACACGTAGTATATATTACTCCGTAGTAGTTAAGGGTGGACTCGGTCCACGTCCACAGCCAGAATTGTACAGTTCATGGGATCGGACTGTGCCTGTTGTTTACAGTTTGGGTGAAAGACCTTGGGCCAGATGTGCACCCCCACCAGGCCGGATAGGTTGTTTGGAGACCAGAATCGGCCGGTATTGTCCCAGTTGAGTCTTTTTTGTATTTTGAGGTTTATAACCATTTTAAAAGAGTCAAGCACCTTTTGATTCGATGACATCATCGTGACACTCTCAAGGAAGAGGTCACAGGATCAAAACTCAACTCAATCTAGTATGTTGGCATTTAGCAGAACAAATACTATAAGAAAAAGAAAGTTTAGAAAAAAAACATTTTAAAAGAGGTATAAGTCCATTTAAAAGTTAAAAAGGTTAGGGAGGGGAGGGTTTAAAAATAGAAAATTTAATTACAACGTAAATAAAAAAAATTGAGAATGATTGGGGGACCAGAACTAGCACAGAAACACATACTGGTGTCGGTCTCAATTCAAGGGGGAGGGGCCTCATGGGCAACCTCTAGGACCGGCCGGTCCTGGTCTCCTGGAAAGGAACCATTCCCGAACTGGACCGGATCCACCCATATTTGTAGATAATTAAATATTTTACAACATATGTCCTGTTTAAAGGTTTCCATTGTAAAATGACACGGTGATTTAGGTAATAATTAAATAAGGTAATTTGAGTATATTTTGTTAAATAATTTTGGTGTATATAAAATATAATAAAGTCATTGATGATAATTGTAATGATATAGATATATTATTTATAATATTTGATGATTAAATTGACATTTAAGAGTGTTAATTGTTTCGTAAAATATAAATGAGAACCTTTATATGGACCGTTCAGAAAAGAAAAATGGGAACCTTAGAATAAGACAACGAGAGTACGTGATAATACTCATATGGACAAGTTTTTAAAATGGAGTATATATTTAGCACATACATTTAACAGTTCTACACATTTGTAGATAATTATTATGGAGTAGAATCTAATTGTACATAAAATATTATAGGGGTGGGGATATCGGTTTGGTTTAACCTAGCTAACCGAACTGATCTGTCCAACGTGCTTTCCCTAGGGTTCCCTGTCTGAAAGCTTATATAGAAAATTGATAAAAGTGGCTGAAGTGGGGTCCCTCATGGTTGTGCGCACGGCATGCGGACTACCATGCGGACCTCCGCATGTTTCTGATGCCTAATTTCTTTGGTCGTCCGCACGGCGTGCAGACCTCGCACTGTCTGACTACTATACCCTTGGCGTCTTCTTCTCTATATAATATAATGAGTTATTGATGAAAACTGTGATATTATAGAAGAATTGTTTTTAATTTTATATTTGATGATTAAATTATTATAAGAGTATCAATTATTTTCTAAAATAAAGAATGAAAACCTTTAACTGGAATGTCAAAAATATGAAAGTGTGAACTTTTTAATGGGGCGGAGTGAGTTGTACAAAACTGAAAGTAAAATTTAAAATTTAAATTTTCTTTCCCGAATTACGTAATAACAAACTACAACATTGTCAATGTTTGATTTCCAAATCATAGTGTTTGATTTTCCCATCTTAGAGGGACTTAGGGAAAATAATTTATTGAGAGATTTACCTAAATAGGACTAAAACATATGAAAAACTCCATTACAGGACTACTAGTTTCATCTGGAGTAGCATAGGACTAAAATAACGGTGGAATGCCGAAATTGTCCTGCGCCTCTCTTCTTCATTCGCCACTTGTGAGCCCTGCTGTGATCTCAATCTTTGTTGCAAGTAAGTTCTTCTTCTTCCTCTTCCTCTTCCTCCTCTTCCTCTTTCTCTTCTTCTCTTCTTCTCTCCCTTTCTCTTCTCCTCTCTTCTATTTTCTTCCTCCTCGTACTCTGTTTCAATTCATTTTTATTTTGGTTTTTTAATTTTTAGTCCACTTTCTTACTTCTGAGATTCTAAAAAATTATGTTAGATTAGAAAATTTTGGATGAGAAATTAAAACAAAGCCGCAACAATTTTCTAATCCTCTTCAAATTTTCTAATTTTCATTTTTTGGATTTGAATTAATTTATTAATTTGGATTTTTGGATTTGAATTTTATTTATTCAGCAAAATTCCACTTTTATAATAAGAGAATGTCAAAATTCTTGGCTATTTGAAAAAACTGTCACGTTTGTGGCAGTATATTTTTCAAGATGACAATATGGAAATGTCATGTGTCCATAAGAAAATGTCATTCTTATGGCATTCTATGGCATTTTTATGGTTTATCTAAGAATGACATAACTACTTGTTATTACAAATGACATGTTTTCTTACATGTTTTCCAAATGATGTCATTTTTATCTTAAACTCTCTCTTTAAAGATGGCTATATGTAATTGCCACATTCATGACGTTTTGAGAGCAAACACATCATTTCAAAAAACAAAAAACGGAGGAAGAAGAAGAAAATCCATGGAGGAGACAAAGAGGAGAAGAAGAACGACTGTCATGTTGTTACATATGCAATTGCCACATTCATGACATTTTGAGAGCAAACACAACATTTTAAAAAAAGAGAGGAAGAAGAAGAAAATCCGTGGAGGAGACAAAGAGAAGGAGAAGAATAAATTAGAGGAAGAGTTAATTTCTGAAATTGGTGGAGTTTCCAATAAACAAATTGAATGGAGATGGAGGAAGCAGAACAAGATCAAACCTGGAGTACTTTGAGACATAGCAGGAGAAGAAGATTGAACTTGGAGACTATGTAACGGGTAGTGCAGGAGAAGAGAAGAACGGACTGTACATGTGAAGAAGATCGATGATGTTGGAAGCGGTGTCTATGAGCAGGACAGAGCGATGAGAAAAGCAAGGGCAATTTGGACATTGAATAAATGGCGTAAACTTAAATTAGGAGCGGATGACTCCTATAATGGGGGAAAATGTGTTATGTCCTACTTTGGCTTTTTATCATAATGTAATTTATGATAATGTTTGATTTATTTGATTTCCAATCATAATGTTTTTATTTGATTTCCAATCATAATGTTTTTATTCTATCATATAAAATGTAATTTATTTGATAAAGGTTTGTACGACGTGACTAGGGACAAAATTTTAAAATATGAAAGTTCAAGTTGATTATAAATTAAAAGTTCACTATTTATTACTTTGATTAGTACTCCGTAGTCCGTACTAGTTAAGAAATGAGATCAAGAGTCCGTTTGCCAAACACTGTTTTTTGACTTATCAGGTTTATCGGCCAACTTTTTCACCAAACACGTAACTTTTGCTTTCGCGCGTTGAATTGTGTAATAAGCAGAAAAAGTAAGGTTGAAGTTACTTTTCTGGCTATATTGGCTAAAGTTATTGTACATAACTATTTTAGCTATTTTTACATATAATTTTATTAATAAAATATATTTTAAAAATAATTTTTTATTAAATCAGCAGAATCAGCCAATGCAGCCAATGCAGCCATTTCAGCCAGAACTTCATAAATTTCAGCAGAATCAGTCAACTTGGCCGGTTTTCGTGCTACCAAACGGGCTCCAATAAGCGCCGACTCCACCTATTTTATTGTAGGAATGTAATTCCGGAAAACCTATTGAACGGGTGGGCGTAGCTCAACTGGTAGTGAGGGAGTGTCATAAGGATTAGATTTCAGGTTCGACTTCTGGCAACTGCGATGAGAGGTTACTTAATAGAGGGCCTCTGCAAGTACTGGAGACGGAACCTCACTCTCTATCTGTCAGTGTTTATAGTCCAATTTACATTCTCTCATCGTGCCGTCCGGTCGGTGTTGGGGACTCTCAGGGATGAGGTGTCTATCCTTTTTTGGAAAACCTATTGAGATGCTTAACAACAGAGAGAGGGAGAAAAGGCATGTTTTGGCCTTTTGGGTTATTAAAGAAAGTGAATTGATGAAAGTTGACAAAAATAAAGTTATTCAACAGCAACATATGGAGTAAGATAAATTTAGGCAAATCAATAAATAATTAGGTAATTCCCGAGTGCTTTAATTTCAAGTCCTATCCTTGCCACAACCTGAACAGGGATACAAAATTTTAAATTTGAAAGTTCAAGTTGATTATATATATTAAGAGTTCATTATTTACTTCGATTAGTACTCCGTATTAGTACCCGCACGGTTAGCTCAATTGGTCGAGTGGTGAGAAATTTGGATCAATGGACCAAGATTTGAATCCCCGCAGCGACCGGATGTAGGTTACAGAACCTGAAATATGGCTGGACATCTAGCGTGCACGAATTATAGGTCTACTGCCACTATATTGACTAAGTCACCGTGACTTACTCCATCATCCTGTCAGGTCAGAATGTAGAGGCTCTTAGAGTAGGAAATTCCACCTTTTGAATCAAGAAATGAGATCACGTAATTGGTGAACAAGAGGTATCTTTTTTACAAATAAGGAGAAATCGTCATCAATTACACCAGCAAATATCCGAAACTCTAAAATATTCTCGCACTCAAGAAGTGGCTTGCAATGAAGAAACTCAAGAAAGTTTGTCGGTTGACTCAATTCGTAAGCGCTGACGCCCCCGCTATATATAAAATACGAAGATGGTGTTTTGGCCTTTTGGGTTAATTTAATTAATAAAGCAAAAGTCATACGGAGTATTTTATTAAAGAAGGTGGATTGACGAAAGTTAGACAAAAATTAGAGCCCGTTTGGTAGCATGAAAATTGACTGATTTTGTAGAAATTTATAAAGTTCTGGCTGAAGTGGTTGCATTGACTGATTGTGCTGATTTAAGAAAATATTATTTTTAAAATATACTCCGTATTTTATTAATAAAATAAATTAAAAATTATACCCGGAGTTAAGGCGGAGTATGTAAAAATAGCTAAAATTGTCATCCAGAATAACTTCAACTAATACATCTAGAACGTCCTGCAAAATGCTCTATGACCGAAATAACTTCAACCTTACTTTTTCTGCTTATTACACAATTTAGCGCGTGAAAGTAAAAGTTACGTGCTTGGTGAAAAAGTTGATTGATAAACCTGATAAGCCCAAAAACAGTGTTGTACAAAGTATTTTATGAAATATTAAACATTGTTCAAATATACCATTCCAAACGATTTACTTTCATGAACCCAAATCGAACTAAAATGCCATTTTTATCGGATAAAAAGCAATGCGGAGATTTGATTGAATTGATCGATTAAATTAAAACTGCAAGTAGCCAGCTTGAATACGAAAGTGGGTACCCTCAGTACGTAAAATAAATAAGCTAAGGCCGGCTACGAGATGAGAAGAGTAAAAAAAATAAGCTAAAATAAATACACAGTCTGGCTAAGAGCATCTTTAACGGGTCTTTCTATTACTAAGTTTGCAAAGCCACGTCAATAAAAATTGAGCGGAACAAAAAAATCAATCTCCAACCCAAATGTCTATTCTCAAGTGTTGCTGAGTTGGATCTCAAACTGTCAATTGGAATTTCCGATTTCAGCAAGAGCGTGAGACAGTATGACTAAGCAAACTAGTTATTTATTTATCTACTTAAATTAAAAACCTACGAAAAAAATAGCGCCAATCTCAAAAGAAGTACCGCCAAATAATTGAAGTTGTGGAGTTCTGCGCCAAAGAAATAGGACGGAATCACGGAAGTGGAGTGCTATCCTCTGCGTAATATATAGAAACAGAAATTTTCTGCAAAAAATCATCTTCTAGCTTCTTCTCTGAAATATCAGGTAATATTTCAGATTGTTGTTTGCTATTAATTCTTCACGAGCGCATTCCTCCTAACTCCCAACAGCTTCTCAAGCAGCCGCCATCTTTTTCCTTCCCTAAGCGTTAGTTTTTTTTAGACTTCTTTTAATTTGATTATGGCCTCACTATATAATTTGATATTTTAATGACTTGTGCATATAACTAAAAAGATTCCTAATTCGATGTAGAGCAATTGTTCTAATTTTGATGATATATTTTTTTTTATGTTTTCCTTCCAATTTGATCTCTCTAAATATTTGCTATATTATTTGATGTCTATGATTATATTTTGTGCTTGGGATTTTATAAAGTCTGATTTGGCTGCGTGTGATTAAAGAATCAGCTTTAATAAATTGTATAAAGCAGTTACTCCTGCAGTAGCTGGATCTATTTTATCATGTCTAAACCACTCCAAATACGTAGTATTTGAAACAACTCAAGCTTCATGTGATTAAATCATTCTGACAACCAAAGATGACTTGATCCATTTGCATAAATTGATAACTTGTATGAGTATCATCATTATCATGGGCTGCAACAAAGGAACACTAATTGTTAGTTATCTAATTGTGCTTCTTATTTATTACTATATTACTTCTATACACATACATATATGTTGAAATACCATTAAATTTATAACAAAGGATTGGATTTCAATCAAATGAAGTGGACAGAGATGCATGCCTGCTACAAATTCAAAATTTCAACATTGGATGTAATTAAATTCAGTCCATATGTTTTAGGGTGCTAGATTATTATTGTTTGTGAAAAGTATATGATTTGGTTAATGCACATCTTCATAATGAATTTTCATACAGATGGACTCCACACCTCACTCTTCTCACCGTGAAAGTCATGAGTACAATACTGAAGCTATTGACCCCAATCCTCAGTATGGTAACATTACACAAATCCAGTCACTACCTCCAGTGTCAAATTCTAGCCACTTTGGTCCATCAAACTTGGCTGGTCATCCTAGTTTTTTTATGAATACTTCATTTCCTTCTCATGCCCTCTCACCCTACGGATACGGTTTCCCTTTCCAAGATCTGTTACACTCTTCTAGTATCCCATTTGAAAACCCAGTTCCTAAAACAAGTAAAGGACCACAGAAAGGTGACAAGGGCAAACAAAAAACAAGTACCTCTCAAACTGCTGGAAGTAACAAAAATTGGACCAAAGATGAGGAAGTTGCACTAACAGAGGCATGGTTGTATGTTTCTGTTGACGCTGATGTTGGTAACAATCAGAAAATTTCTAATATGTGGAACCGCATTGCACAAATTTGGAGGGAAAAGATGGAAACCTATGACGAGTCTCGCACAACAAATAGCTTACAATGTCATTGGTGTAAAATCTTAGCTGCAGTGAATAAGTTTCATGCATTGTTTGAACGACTATTAAGAAATCCTAAGAGTGGTGCGAGCCAAGAAGATATGGTAGTTTCCACTATTTTACATTCTCGTCATTTTAATTTCATTATATTTTTTACATCGTATCTTTTTATCGTGTTTTGGATATGTAAGTCATTCAATGAACTAACTTCCTCATTTTGTTAATTATGTTGCATTTTTAGAGACGAGAAGCAATGCGTATGTTTGAAGATATTAATGATGGTCAATCTTTCAAGTATGAACATTGTTGGGAGATCATGAAAACAAATCCCAAATGGTGTACAAAAGAGGTTACCAAGGTAAAAGAATTGTCCAAGCAAAGGGCTGCTTCTGATACAAATGTTGACACCAAGGTACCATCTACTATACCATTGATTGATGCTAATAAAGAACAGGATGATATCAACATAGATGCTCCTAGTGCTATTAACGGCAGTGATGTTGAGCGCCCACAAGGAAGAAAGGGAACTAAAGAGAAAAAAAGGAGACTGAATGAAGAAAAAGGTGTGGTTGATGTATTGAGTAAGATGCAGACTATTCTTGAAAAACAAATCAGCGTTAGTGAGGAAGAGCTCAAGATGAAGAGGGAAAAGGACATCAAAGACTTTGATCTCAAAGAAAAAATAATGAAAAAAGAAGTGGAGTTCAAAGAGAATGCTCATAAATTGAAAGCGAATGCTCAGAAATTAAAAGAGAAAGATCAGCAGTTAAAAGAGAATGATCAGAAGTTAAAGGAGAAAGCTCAAAAGAGACAAGACCAGGAACGTATTTTAAATCAAGATGTCAACAAACTTCCATTAGGCATGAGAGAAACATTTGAGAAATACAAGTGTCAAGTTATAAAAGAATGGGAAAATGATGGACTTTTTGGTCATGGTATGTTTCCTATACCATTTTGTTTATTTATAATTACAATGTTAGTGAAAACTAATAATTCACTTTATAACTAAGACTACCTTAATTCTTTTTGCAGGTACCATTTAGAGTCAATGACCATTTATTGATGAAGTTGATCCAGTTCCCTTATAAGCAGTAACTTGTAGTGGTTTTACTTGGATGGAAGAAATCAAAAGATTCTTTATTTGTTTAGTTAGCTTGCTATGTTTACTTTATTAGACTCAAATACTCTTTCGTTTATGTTATTTAGTTGAACTTTGAATTGTTGGAGCACTAGTTACCTAAATTTTACATTAATTCATTCATTTATTTAGCAAATCACAAGGAGGCAAAGAACACCTCTGCCCACCAAGCTTTATTCTCTCATAGTACCAACTACCAACCATTCACCTTTCTGGGCACTTTCTCTGACCATTTTTGCCGACCATAATGAAAGTGTTTTTTGTATGGGAAAATTAATCACACAAGCATCATTAAAGTCACCCTAAGTTTTGCTCAGACAATCATCATTAAACCCATCAAGAATTCCCCCCTCCCCCCTAAGACAAACTACCAAGGGTGGGACAAGAAGTTGCAATATAATGTCTCTACCTTCTCTAAACTAAAAAACGAGCCAACAGAGAGCATCAACATCATTTTGGCCAGTGATGAAGGGGAGGGAAAAACAGGTTACACGACAAATTATAATTCCAAGCTAAAAAATTGTCAAACTAGTACTAGTCAAGATATTGATGAACTACAGAAATTCAATAACTTGTGTGTGAGCTTACAAGACAAACAAAAGGTGAGGAAGAAATGACTACGGGACACGAAAGCACATATTAGGTTTTGGGCAAGAACCGTGGCATCAAATGTGCGCCAGGAGTGCTAATTTTCATCATCACACTTAACTTCTCTATTCAAATATGTGTACTTAGTTTCTCACAACTTAAAAAAAAAATCAATATGGTAAAACTTAATAAACAAACCCAGAAATGTGTTGAAAATGTTATCACAAATGAGAAATAATTAAGCACTAACATTATGTTCTATCAAAATGTATGACAGATGAAAGTAAAAGGAAAAACATTTGAATACTAGTCTTGGTGTTAAACGTACATTATTCCAACAAGCTTACTAGGAAGAAGCATTATTTAGCATGCTAAAATAAAATACAAGTCTTTCTTGCCTTTTAAGGCTTTTTATTACAAATATCGTAACCTTAACGTCCTATATAAAATCATGTTGCTTGTTGACCACCATATAACTCCCATATGTGATTGATGAGGTCATTTTTTAAATCCTTGTGCACTCTCTTGTCTTGAACCTGTTTCATTCTTTGAATCATTTTGGAGACAATAAAATTATAGTCATGCTCCAACTCTACAGCCTCAACCCTTTCATCTTTGTGTGGTTTCCAATCTTCAGGATTCATACCTTGGCTGCATTCACTCTCTATAATCATATTGTGCAAGATGATACAAGCCTTCATTATATTTCCTAGATCTTTTTCTTTCCACATGCGTGCGGGACCTTTAACAATATGCCACCGACTTTGCAAAACTCCAAAAGCCCGCTCCACATCCTTTCTTGTAGCTTCTTGGCGCTGAGAAAATATTTTCTCTTTAAGAGAAGAGGGTTGAGAAATAGATTGAATTAAAGTGGCGTATTTTGGGTATATTCCATCAGTCAGATAATACCCCATATTATAATGGTGACCTTGGACTTCATAGCTACATGGTGGTGTAACTCCATTAATAATATCATCAAACAGTGGAGATCTATCAAGTACATTGATATCATTATTAGTACCAGCCATACCGAAAAAGGCGTGCCAAATCCATAAACTTTTTGAAGCTACAATCTCTAAAATGAGAGTAGGAACCCGTTTAAATCCATTAGTGTGTGTGCCATGCCAAGCCGTTGGACAATTTTTCCAATGCCAATGCATACAGTCAAGACTCCCAAGCATTCTTGGAAACCCTCGATCCTCTCCTTCTTGAAGCAATTTGGAGATGTCATTGTTATCGGGTTTTCTCAAATATTGCTGCCCAAAAATCCCTATCACAGCATCACAAAAATGCATAAGACTTTCAATTGCAGTGCTTTCCCCAATTTGAATATATTCATCCAAAAAATCAGCTGGACAACCATATGCTAGCATCCTCACTGCAGCTATCATTTTCTGTAAAGGGCTTAATCCTTGTTTTCCAGTAGCATCAAACTTTAAAGAGAAGTAACTATCATATTTTTCAATTTCTTTCAAAATGTGTGTAAATAAATGCACATCCATTCGAAACCGACGTCGAAAATGCTCAGCTGTATACTTGGATTTCTCCCCTTTAAAATAGTCATTAATAATTACATCATGACGTTCCTTTCTATCTCGATGAATATAACGTCTGCCACTTCTTGAACCCCCATGAACATGTCTCTTCCCACCAAGCATTGCTGAAACTATCACGGGAACATGGATAGTCATAGTATCAACCAAATCACGGGAGATTTTCAAATCACTTTCATCATCTGATGGTTCATCAAATATCTGTTTTATCAATGTGAGTTCTTCATTGTCAGATGATGAACTATCATAGCTACTTTCAGATTGAGAAAGAGACATAGTTGTATTGATATTTGCTTAACCTGCATACCACTAAAAATATAAGACTGTGCGAAAGGGGGACTAATCACTATCCATGGTGTTCTCTATTCAGAATATGAAATCATTTGTAGCAAACATATTTCACTTATTGAGATTAATCATTTGTCTTGTTGAAATTCATGTCTAGGATCATTAAACAAAGAGATACAAAGAGCAATAAAATTCAAGAACCTTAGAAAGAATTTGATATGGCACTGTATGTTGTAACTAACGAGTGAATATTATAGTTCATGTGCAACATGAGAAATAAAGCTTTAAAGAGACAATATATCAAATGCTTGAAGTGCGAATCAAACTTTCATTTTTCAAATGTCTTTGAGAAACACAGTGATAATTTATATTACTACCCAGAAGGAACATCCCACAACTAAATTATGAAAATAGATAAACTGCAAATATCATTCCACTTAATCGTATAGGATTTTACATGCATACATCACCTAAGTTTTCTTCAATATGCGGCTAATTGTGTTCTGAATAAAGAAGTTATGCATAAACTTGCCTTGCATAAGTTTCCCGTCTTAAGGACGGATGGAAGATGGATGATTGTGAAAAATATGAATAATTGGATGGAAGATGGATGATTGTGAAAAATATGAAAAATTAAACTGAAGGGATAAATAAATGAAAACTCACAGTAGGGTTGGAGAAGGAATTTTAGATTAACCGTTTGGTTGGCCAAGTCACCCTCACATCCGGACTAATTGCCTGTTATTTGATGATGTGTCCACATTTATAGCCTTTAAAACTCACATCTCTATTGGAGATGCTCTAACATCTATCAGTATATGAAAGTTATTGCCTGCCTCAAACAGGAGGAGCTCGAATACGAGTTTGTTTTTGTCGATCATCAAGCTATAGATAACAAAAAAAACCTTTCCTTCGTCTTAATGTGAGTCAGACTCTACTTAATATTATTAATAATAATAATAATAATAATAATAATAATAATAATAATAATAATAATAATAATAATAATAATAATAATAATAATAATAATAATAATAATAATAATAATAATAATAATAATAATAATAATAATAATAATAATAATAATAATAATAATAATAATAATAATAATAATAATAATAATAATAATAATAATAATAATAATAATAATAATAATAATAATAATAATAATAATAATAATAATAATAATAATAATAATAATAATAATAATAATAATAATAATAATAATAATAATAATAATAATAATAATAATAATAATAATAATAATAATAATAATAATAATAATAATAATAATAATAATAATAATAATAATAATAATAATAATAATAATAATAATAATAATAATAATAATAATAATAATAATAATAATAATAATAATAATAATAATAATAATAATAATAATAATAATAATAATAATAATAATAATAATAATAATAATAATAATAATAATAATAATAATAATAATAATAATAATAATAATAATAATAATAATAATAATAATAATAATAATAATAATAATAATAATAATAATAATAATAATAATAATAATAATAATAATAATAATAATAATAATAATAATAATAATAATAATAATAATAATAATAATAATAATAATAATAATAATAATAATAATAATAATAATAATAATAATAATAATAATAATAATAATAATAATAATAATAATAATAATAATAATAATAATAATAATAATAATAATAATAATAATAATAATAATAATAATAATAATAATAATAATAATAATAATAATAATAATAATAATAATAATAATAATAATAATAATAATAATAATAATAATAATAATAATAATAATAATAATAATAATAATAATAATAATAATAATAATAATAATAATAATAATAATAATAATAATAATAATAATAATAATAATAATAATAATAATAATAATAATAATAATAATAATAATAATAATAATAATAATAATAATAATAATAATAATAATAATAATAATAATAATAATAATAATAATAATAATAATAATAATAATAATAATAATAATAATAATAATAATAATAATAATAATAATAATAATAATAATAATAATAATAATAATAATAATAATAATAATAATAATAATAATAATAATAATAATAATAATAATAATAATAATAATAATAATAATAATAATAATAATAATAATAATAATAATAATAATAATAATAATAATAATAATAATAATAATAATAATAATAATAATAATAATAATAATAATAATAATAATAATAATAATAATAATAATAATAATAATAATAATAATAATAATAATAATAATAATAATAATAATAATAATAATAATAATAATAATAATAATAATAATAATAATAATAATAATAATAATAATAATAATAATAATAATAATAATAATAATAATAATAATAATAATAATAATAATAATAATAATAATAATAATAATAATAATCACAGCAGCAGCAGAAGTAGTAGTAGTAATACTAGTAGTAGTAGTAGTAATAAGAAGAACGACGACGACGCCAACGCCAGCGACAGCGACAACGACAATGACAACGACAACGACAACGACAACAACAACGACAACGACAACAATAACAATAACAATAACAATAACAATAACAATAACAATAACAATAACAATAACAATAACAATAACAATAACAATAACAATAACAATAACAATAACAATAACAATAACAATAACAATAACAATAACAATAACAATAACAATAACAATAACAATAACAATAACAATAACAATAACAATAACAATAACAATAACAATAACAATAACAATAACAATAACAATAACAATAACAATAACAATAACAATAACAATAACAATAACAATAACAATAACAATAACAATAACAATAACAATAACAATAACAATAACAATAACAATAACAATAACAATAACAATAACAATAACAATAACAATAACAATAACAATAACAATAACAATAACAATAACAATAACAATAACAATAACAATAACAATAACAATAACAATAACAATAACAATAACAATAACAATAACAATAACAATAACAATAACAATAACAATAACAATAACAATAACAATAACAATAACAATAACAATAACAATAACAATAACAATAACAATAACAATAACAATAACAATAACAATAACAATAATAATAAAAAATAAAAATAACAATAACAATAACAATAATAACAATAACAATAATAATAACAATAACAATAATAACAATAACAATAATAACAATAACAACAATAATTAAAATGATGATGATGATTACATATAATATTTCCCAAACTTTGATTAATTACTTTAATTTGTATGTATTGCTTGTTCGCAGGTATGCTAATTCGTGTGTTCTCTTATTTTCATTGCAGCCCTTTGGTCAACTGCCTGCCTTCACGGATGGAGATTTGACCCTCTTTGATAAAGTTATTTAAGTCAGGGAGATTTTAATCCTATAATTTCAATTGTGCTTGATATTAGGTTTTAGTTCGTTACAGATTTAGTTTATTTTAAAAAAAAAACAATTTTTGCAATTTAAAGATTTGTGTAGAAGAAAATTTGATGACGGCGGCATCATTTTTTGCTGTAAAGTGTATTTGCTGCACAGCTGGAGAGTTTTTAATTTGCTAAGATTTATAAAAATACAAAAAAAAACATATACTATCTATAATGATATAAATATCCACCTCACGTTAGCTAAATAAAAATATGCACTCACACATACGATAGTACATATGACCTCCTTGAATTACTTTCCATATAAGGTTTCATTTAGAATTTAACTTTAGATCTTAATATTGGGGTGTTTGGTTAGGAGGCTATAAGCCATTTTTGTCTGATTTGATCATTATTTAGCTTTTTGACCAGATAAACAACTAATTGAGGTGTTTGGTTACTTGGCTTTGTCACTTTTTATTCCAAACAGCCAAAATTTGAAAAGCTAAAGAATGCAGCGTTTTGGACGACTGTTTCGATATTTATCTGAAGTTCCTATTCTGTCCACACTACCTCCCTTCTTTTCTCATTCGGCACTTCCTTTTCCATATCTAATGCTGAAAAAAAGCAGCGGGTATTCTTCTTAGAGTAGCTAGAGCCATTTTCATAAACACTTGGAAGGGGAAGGCATAGAGGGTTGTCATAGCCACCCCATTTATGATGTGCCTAAGGCCAAACAAGGTAAAATCATGCCTTAAATACAATTTTATTTTTTTAAATAAAAAAGAATTAAGAAGTTTTTTTAAAGCAACGAATTAAGAAGTTGTATTAATAGTTTAAGCAAAATGTGTGAAACATATACGTAATATAAAAGTAGGTAGTACACAAAACAAATTGTTTGATGTCATTAAAAGTAATTTAACTATTTATCAGCCGGTTGTAAGCAACCGTATAACGAAACATTGTTTTATAAACAGCTAATATTATCAGCTAATCAAAACGGCCAACACCAATCATCCAACATAATCAGCCAACAGCCAACAGCCAATTACCAAACACACCCATTGAGTTACGTACATTATACTATGTACTAGTATATGCTTTGAAGTACATATTGGGGAGTGAGTGAGTCTCTTTGTAAACTTAATTATTATTAATAATCAAATTATGGTGTGAACATTGTCTCATCATGCACGTAGAGTCAAGACTCAAGAGGAATCACCAAATACATTATACACACATATGCTGACAGTGGGAGTCAGCCGATCCCCAAAGACCCTAAAGCAATGACGATCATTTCAATGTGGATGGAAGTTTAGGCTCACCAATTTGATGCGGCAGCATCCAAGCTCTACTATGAGCTCGTCATAATTTCATAAAGCCTACGTGCAACATGAAGAGCGATGATAAAAAGGTGGCAGGACATGAGAAGGCGCTTGTCAAGGTTACGTTCTTGACGTGTACGAAGAAGAACGACTTAAGGTGTCGCATCGGCCCATGGACCGTTTGGGTGTTAGATAAACAAGAAACTGCCCAAGCTACACAATTCTACTCAGTATGATCTAACACTCACACAAAGTAAAGCAAAGAACACGAAATAACAATATATCCACACAAAGTACTTTCTTGCGTGTATTCTTTTGATAACTAATATGGAGGAAAAACTCAGTGCATTCGAGTACAAAAAACCTCCTAACCCCACCTCCTATATATAACAACTTGAGAGTGGGGAAAACTGTTTGAGAAAAAATAGCAACCACTTAACCCTAACGTGCATGGGTGGTCATTTGACTTCTTCCCACATGAATAAAATAACTTAAATGCTGAAATGATTAACTAAAGTACGTACTAAATAAACAAAAAACAAGTTTAAAACACAAAACATACTACGTACTAAACTAAGGCTTACATTCACCCCCTTAAACTTGTTTTCTTTCTTCTCTTCAAACTCTTGTGCTTCTCATGCCTATCTTGTCCCTCAGTTCAGTAAATCTTTGTCTTCCAAGGGGCTTAGTTAGTATGTCTGCCAGCTGAAACTCAGTCTTGATATACTCCAAATCTATATCCCCTCTTTCCACACATTCTCGTATGAAATGGAATCGAGTATCAATGTGTTTACTCCTTTCATGATGGACAGGATTTTTTTGCAAGGGCAATAGCTGACTTGTTGTCAATCCTCAAGACTGGTTTTTCATTGATCTTCCCTTGTAGACTCTCTAGCAACTTCATAAGCCAGATTCCTTGACATGCGCCTCCAGTTCATGCAATATACTCAGCTTCACATGAGGAAAGAGCTACAATCCTTTGCTTTTGTGATATCCAAGTAATAGGACTGTCACCTAGAAAGTATAAGATACCAGTAGTACTTTTCCTATCATCCACATCTCCAGCCAAATCACTG